TACGGACCAGAGTCCCGAGTTCCCACTAGGGGCACATACCAAAAAAAAAAAAAAAAAAAGACTATCAGTTGATTTCTCAAAAGAAACTTTGCAAGCCAGAAGGAAGTGGCAAGAAATATTCAGAGTGATGAAAAGCAAGAACCTACAACCAATATTACTCTATACTGCAAAGCTATCATTTAGAATTGATGAACATATCAAGAGTTTCCCAGACAAGAAAAAGCTAAAGGAGTTCATCACCACCAAACCAGTATTATATGAAATGTTGAAGGGTCTTCTTGAAGAAAAAGAAGATAAAAACATGAACAAATAAAATGGCAATAAATACATATCTATCGATAACTGAGTCTACAAACAAAATTAACAATCAGAACAGAAACATTCTCATAGATACAGAGAACGTTTTGTTGGTTGCCAGATGGGAGGAGGGTTGGGGGAATGGGTGAAAAAGGTGAAGGGATTAAGAAGTACAAATTGGTTGTTAGACTCACAAACCTCAAAGGGAAGGGGGTGGGAAGAAATAAACCAAAGAACATATATGCACATATGTATAAATAATGGGCACAGACAACAGTGTGGGGAAAGGCAGGAGTGGGTCAGTAGGGGAAAAAGGAGGAACATCTGTTAATACATTCAACAATAAAGATAAATTTAAAAAAAGAGAGAAAGAGGCCCTTGTAATAATAATATTTTTTTAAATACCCAGGATATTTTTCCATTGATTTCTTTGATAGAGTGGAAGGAGGGAGAGAGAAAGAGAGAAACATTGATGTGACAGAGACACATTGATTGGTTGCCTCCTGCATGACACTGACTGGGGCCAGGGATCGAACCTGTAACCCAAGGTACATGCCCTTAACTGGGAATTGAACCCACAACCATTCAGTCGATAGGCTGACGTTCTAACCACTGAACCAAATGAGCCAAGGCAATAATTTTATTTTTATGTATTTTTTTTAAGTTTTGTAATTCTGCCTTTTACATTTGATTCTTTTTAAAAATGTTTTTATTGATTTTTTTTTTTTTTTAGAGAGAGAGGAAGGGAAAGAGAAAGATAGAAACATCAATGTGAGAGACAAACATCGATTGGCTGCCTCCTGCACACCCCCTACTGAGGATCAAGTCTGCAACCCGGGCATGTACCCTGACTGGGAATTGAACTGGGAACTCTCAGTCCATGGGATGACGCTCAATCCACTGAGTCACATCAGCTGGGCTTTTTAAATAATAATTTTATAAAGGAGAAAATGAACACATGGGACTACATCAAACTAAAAAGCTTCTGCACAGCAAAAGAAACAATCATCAAAATGGAAAGGCAACCCACTGTATGGGAGAACATCATTGCCAATGATGTATCAGATAAGGGGTTAATTTCCAATATATACAGAGTGCTCATACAACTCCACAAAAGGAAGACAAAGAACCCAATTAAAAAATGGGCAGAGGAGCTGAATAGACACCTCTCCAAACAGGACATACAAATGGCCAAGAGACATATGAAGAAATGCTCAACATCACTAATCATCAGAGAGATGCAAATTAAAACAACAATGAGGTATCACCTCACACCTGTCAGAATGGCCGCCATCAACAAATCATCAAACAACAAGTGTTGGCGAGGGTGTGGAGAAAAGGGGACTCTAATACACTGCTGGTGGGAATGCAGACTGGTGCAGCCGCTATAGAAAACAATATGGTGCTACCTCAAAAAATTAAAAATTGAACTTCCATTTGACCCAGTGATCCCACTGCTGGGAATATACCCTAGGAAGCCTGAAACACCAATCAGGAAGAATATATGTACCCCCATGTTCATAGCAGCACTATTTACAATAGCTAAGATCTGGAAACAGCCCAAGTGTCCACCAGTAGACGAATGGATCAAAAAGCTGTGGTACATATACACAATGGAATACTATGCAGCGGTAAGAAAGAAAGATCTCTTATCCTTTGAGACGACATGGAGGGACCTGGAAAGTATTATCCTAAGTGAAAGAAGCCAAGCAGAAAAAGACAAATACCACATGATCTCACTTATATACGGAATATAATGAACATAACAGTCTGAGGAATACAGTAGACCCAGACATATGGAAGTAGGGCACAGACTGAGATCCCTCAGAAGAGGGGATGGGGGGTGGGGGGGTGGGAAGAGATAAACCACAGAACTTATATGCATGTATGCATGACCAATGGACATGGACAACTAAGCCGGGGACAGGGTGGAGGGGGGGGTGGAGGGGGGGGTGCCAATGGGGTAAAAAGGTAAAATATCTGTAACAAAAAAATAAATAAATAAATAAAAAATTTAAAAAAATACAAAATAAATAAATAAATAAATAATAATTTTAAAACACTGAGCAAACAATTTCACATTCCAACATAGTCTTCCAAAGTTTCCAATTTCAAAAATAATATGGTGTATCAAAAGCTGCTTTGAGCCCTGGCTGGTTTTGCTCAGTGGTTAGAGCACTGGCCCTGTCAAGGGCACATGCCTGGGTTGCAGGTTGGATTCCTACCCCAGCTAGGGTTGCGTGGGAGGCAACCAATTGATGTGTCTCTCTTACATCGATGTTTCTCTCTCTCTCCCCCTTCCTCCCTCCCTCCTTCCACTCTCTCCAAAAATCCATGGAAAAACATCCTCGAATGAGGATTAGGAGAAAAAAAAAGAAGAAGAAGAAGAAGGAAAAAGAAAGAAAACTTCTTTGAGTTTCAAACCAAGGAGTTCTACCCAGGTTTGCTGAGGGAAAAGAGTAAAAATCAGCCAACCTCAAACCATGAAAGCAAAACAGATGAGGTGGCCCTGTTCAGAATGATTCCAGAAAGGGCTAGTCCCACCTTTGTGCCCCACCCGGCAAGTTGAAAGCTCCCTATCCAAGCCTCCACTTTCCCATCTGTAAAACAGTAAAAAAGTATCAACCTACAGCTACGCCAAGAAGAACCTTCCTCCTCCCAAGGGACAGCTCTCTCCTTCCCAAAGGGCTCAGGCCAAGGGCCTGGGGTCCTCCTGGCACCCTCACATCTAGTCCCCAAGCAGTGGCTGAACCCACCTGACTTTCTCTACAGCCCCTCCCATATAGGCCTCCACCTCAGCCTCCTGCTGTCCCTACTCCTGCCCCAAAAGGCCAGGATCCCACAGCAGCCACAGGGGCTCTGAACATTGTAAATCAGAACACAGCCCTCCCCTGCTCACATACCCTCCGTGGCTCCCCATTACCATCAGAGTAAAAGCCAAATCTCTCCTTCACCCTGCAGAGGCCGGCCCCCACCCACCACTTCAGTATCACCCCATCCACCACTCCTTCATCATGCCATTCCAGCCACACTGGCCTCCTCACAACACCTGAAGCTTGCTGCCTGCTCTGTTCCTCCTGCTTCAGATACTGTCCTTCAGCTTCCCCCAAGGCTGGCTCCTTTGCTCCTTCAGGTCTCTGCTGGGGTCCCCTCCTAAGGAAAGCCCCCCAACCCTGCTCACTCATCACCCCACCCTGGTTATGCCATCTGCTGTAGGTTGAATGTTGGAAGCCCTAACCCCTGGTATCTGTGACTATGACCTTATCTGCAAATACAATCTTTGCAGATGCAATAAAAATGTAAGTTAAGATGGGATCATAAAGGATTAGGGTGGGTCCTAAATGCAATGACTGGTGATCTTAGAAGAAGAGACACACAGGATGCAAAGTCCACGTGACCACAAAGGCAGAGATTGGGGTGATGCAGCCACAAGCCAAGGACACCTGGAGCCACCAGAAGCTGGAATAGGCAGGAAGGACCCTCCCTTGGAGTTATTTGGGGGAGCACAGCCCTGCTGACACCTGGATTTCAGACTTCCAGCCTCTAGAACTTTGAGACAATACACTTCCCAAAATACAGTCCCCTCAGTGTGGGGACTTTGTTTCAGAGCCCCAGGACACTGACATACCAGCGATTGCCTTTCAACAACTTTGTCACAGCACTGGCTGTCTTCTGATGTTTTATCACACAATTTGGTTTTTCTGGTCACATCCACCTTTCCCAGGACGCCAGGAAGGCGGGGCTCAGCCTACGCAATTCTTCACTGTGTCTCCAGGGCCCAGCAGGAGGGCACTAGCAGGGGCTCATAAATGTGTGTTGATTGAAAAATAAAAAAGGTACAGACGTCAACTCGGGGCCTGGCACATACACAAAACCAGCCACTGTGTTCAACCTCTCCAGTGGCCCTGCCATCAACACCTTCCCCCTCCACACCAAGGGAGGGACTCACACCCAGGTCAAGAGGACAGGGAAGCCCGTGACCTGTGGGCACTTATCCAACATTATTTTGTTCAACACTCAGCATCCCCTCCTTCCCAGAGACAACACTGGCCAAGGAGAAGTGAAAATCAGGCCTCAGCAGCTCAGCGTCACCAAGTCTCCCCAGTCCCAGAACCACCCGCCTGTTTCTTGAAGTGACCCAGAGAGTGTCATTGAGAATGTGTGGAAATATGGTGTCACTCGTGATGGCGATAAAAGTAGAGATGAATTGCCCAGCTGGTGTGGCTCAGTGGTTGAGCATCGACCCGTGCACCAAAAGATTGCCGGTTCGATTCCCAGTCAGGGCACATGTCCAGGTTGTGGGCCCAACCTCCAGTGGGGGGCATGCAGGAGGCGGCCAATCGATGTTCTCTCATTGATGTTTCCACCTCTCTTTCTCCCTTCCTCTCTCTCTAAAAACCAATAAAAAATAAATAAAATAAAAAATAAAAAGTGGAGATGAACCAAATGTCCAACCACAGAGGACAGTTGGGGACACAATCTGACAGTTGGGGACACAATCTGACAGTTAGGGGCCCAGGGGCCCCAGACTGAATCCCAGCCCCTCCATCTAAGCAGCTAGGTCACCTCTGACAACTTGCATCCCCTCTCGGGCCTCACTTTCCCCTCCGTAAAACACTTAAGGATTGCCTCCATACTCACTGCTCTGCCTTCCCTCTGCATACCCCAGATGCCTCCTGTGATCCAGGGGTCAGGAAACTCACCAAGATATAATCAGCCCACATGTCCCGGGCTGATTTCAGGGCTGCCTGGCGCAACTTCATGACATGCTCGTATCGAGAGTCAGACCAGTGTTTGGGGCCCTCCTCATCTTGGTAGGACCTAAAGGAGAGGTAGCTGTGATGTGGGAAGCACGGGCAATATCGAAGCCCAGAGAGAACCCAGGCTGCAGGGTGGTCAGAGATGGCTTCCTGGAGGAGGGGATGGGTAAGCTAGAACTGAATGGAGGCTGGGAGGAAGCAAGCAAGGAGAAAATGGGAGGAGAAAGGTGTGTCTGCTGCAGGGTACATGGCAAGTACCAAGGCAGGGAGGGGAAAATGTCCAGACTATCTGCAGAGAAGGAATAAAGCTCAGGGAAGGGGGAGCCACTGGGAGAGGACACAGAGCAAAAGAAAAAAGGAACCTATTCTCCCAGACTCAGAATTTGGCCTGAACGGTGGGTGGGTACAGAAATAAACCCTGAAAGAGTGACAGGAATAGGGATTTATGGGAAAGCTAAGCAGGAGAGTTGGTGTTGTTGGGCTGATGGTGATGGGAACAAAGCAGTGGGCTTCACTGGAAAGACATGGGGTGAGAGACTTCTAAGTGCAGGGAAAGGCTGGGGCAAAGGGCCAGAGCAAAGGTGGGGGAGGGAAGATTAAGGCCCATCATGAAGCTGAGGGCAGATCCAAGTAGTCAGAGTAGCCAGGAAAGGCACTTAAGGCTGCAGAGTTGAGCTGGAGAGTCCGGGGCTGAGGGGCTAGGGTTCTGTTGCAGAATAATGGGGAGTCATGGAGGGTGTGTGAGCAGGATGCAGCTGAGTCTGACTGAGAGGGTACAGGGCAGGGCCTGGCACTCACCTGGGCTCCTCTGCCGGCCGCCACTCCACAGAGTGGTACAAACTCTTCACTGCCACCAGCCATTCCCGAAGCACTGCTGACGTGTTGTCTGAGTTGTGGTCTGTGGCCACCCTGTGGAGTGGAACAATCAGTGAGGTTAGGGAGCCTAAAGCAGGATAGGGCAGCATCACATCACCTGGGCTCTGCACCCTGACTCAGCCAGCTAACAGCTACGTAGTCCGGAGCAAGGCACTTCCCCACTCCATGCTTCAGTGTCCTCCTAACACAGGGTGAGGACACTTCACTAAGATGCAGAGAACATTAAACAACCTAATTTTAGAAAACACGAGACACTATTAGTACCATTAAGCACATAGAATCTTATACGGTTAAGTGCTAAATATGTGCAACTTAATAAAACTACTACTACATCATGCAGTCCCACCCACCTTCCTCTACTCTATCCTATGAACTACACCACCTCAGAGTGGACAAACTCGTTCAACAAACATTTCTTAAGCATCAACATACACTTGGATTATCTGTGCTAGGGAATCTAAGGTGGAGAAGAGGGACATTTTGGGAATCTAGTTTGACCTTGGAGCCCAGAGCTATTTTCCCAAATGAACTGCTACTAAGTTGACAACAAGGTCAGCAGTGATAACAATGATCAGGGCAGCTCTGGTCATGGAACACCAAGTCATGATGCCCAGTACAAGGGCTTCACACCTATTAACTGGTTAATCTTCCAAGACAAACCCAACCAGAGTTATATTAATACTTTTTTTTTCCAAATGACTACACTGAGGCAAGAGAAAGGAAGTCACCAGACTTGTTCATGGCTGTGTCCCATTCCCCTTCCAGGAAGGTTCCACTTACCCTGGGGTCATACCCCACCCACCCACTCTGGTCAGAAGGCCTGATTCAGGCTGGTTGCAGGGGCAATGCAGCAGCAGAGTGGAAAAATATACAGTTGGTGGGTAGTAGCAACGCCCTAGTGGGTGCTCCAGGCTCCCCTTCCCTGGAGCCTGTGTGTTTTCCAAAAGGGTTTAGCAGGTTGGGCAGGGCGGCCCGCCCTGGGTACAGTCCTGGATCTGCCCTAATGGGGGGCCAACAGGCGAAGCGAGGGTCCAGACCATTCTTATGCAGGGGGGAATAGCAGAAAGAGGGCCCGCGTGGGTCTGGCCCGCAGATGGGGAACAAGAAGAGAGCACGCGTGGGTCTGGCCCGCCCTGCCCAGTGCCAGGACAGCAGCGTGGGCCCAACTACGAGGCAGCAGGCCGGACCTGCCGGCGGCGCCGCACTCACCACAGCGCCGTGCGCTCCCGCGGGTGGCGCAGCCGCTCCAGTGCACCCAGCGTGGCCGGCAGCGCGTGGGCCGCATTGCGCGCCAGCAGCGCGATAAGCACGCGCGGTGCCTGCAGCGGCGACTCAGGGCTCCAGCGCTCCTCCGGGAAGTAGGCGGCAGCACCCCGCGGGCCCCCTGGAGGCGGCAGTGCCAGCAGCAGTAGCAGCAGCTCTGGGAGCGGCCGCCCGCACCGGCGGCACGCGCGCGAGGCCGCCGCCATCGCGCCACGCGTCACCTTTAAGCTACGTTCTGCCGACAGAGGAGGGCCGCGCCTTAACAAGGACCTCAGTGCCCCGCCGCTGCCTCGGCCTTAAAGGGGAGGAGACCGCCTGGCGAGAATCTGGCATCAGGGCCCGCCCTCCAGGCCCCGCCTCAGGACGGCTTTAAAGGAAAGGAGCTCTGTTTACCCTCAGTAGCCCGCCCCACTCCAGCCTTAAAGGCACAAAATTCGGAATTCTCGCCCTGCCTCCGAGCGATTGCTTACCGTGGGAACAGCACTTGATGCCCTGTCCAACTTCTATTCTTACAATCCCCAAGTTGTACCAGGCAGGCCCGGAAAATTAGGACCTGATTTGGGGCCTCAGTTTCCCTGGGTGCAACATGGGTTTTACCATCCTGGGTCCCCATCAAGGCTTATTGAGCATTCAGCGCATGGGACGACCCGCGTGGGCTCTCTGTGTGAGCCTTAATATGTCCACCTGTACAATACGGTTATACTGACCCCGCAGAGTCGGCATGAAGAGGAGCCAAGTGATGCTTTAAACGTGCTTCGGAGGAAGGATGGGCTTTTCCATAGAAATGCTACCGAGATTGTTTTCCAATACTCGAATGTATTTTCTAATTGATTGTTTTGGGGTCATTTTTAAAAATTAAGTTTTAAGAATGATGCTCAGATGTATATTTATTAATGTATGTATGGCAAGGGGTTAATATTGCTAAGTAAAATTCAGGGCACAGGCTGTGTGTCTTGGCTGTCCATTACAGGATGACACAAGATGGGGCAGTGAGGTTGACCAGAAAAGCCCAAATCTCCCAGCAGTCTAGAGTCAGATGATACTCGCCTCTCCTCTTCACACTCTTCTCCTTATCCATTCCTTTCCTCTAATTATTTTTTTGCCCTTTGCTTCTGTTTTCCGATAATTTCCTACAGCAATTTTCTGCACAAGATGACTATTTTAGAAATGCAGCCCAGTCTTTACTAGTTACATGATTGACTCTGAGTGGAGGAAAAGGGATGGGGCCAAACTTGGTCATTGTTGATAGGAGCACAGGGGATCTCTGCTTTGGGGGCATGTTTGAAACATTCCATAATAAAAAGACAAAAACAGTTTTATGCTCTATGGACCTGGCAACAAAAGATCTTTCATATTAAGCAAGAAGAATAGGGTGACGAGTGCATCCTGTCCTGATAACAAGAGAAAAGACTGGAAGGATTTAGACCCCAGGGCAAACATTGGTTTTCTCAAAGTGGGCAGGATGACAAATTCTTGTTACTGCAATTTTCCCAAAATAACATCTACATCCAGGGTACAAAGAAGCCAGCTGAACAAGGCTGTGAAGCACAAATGTATTTCAGAAGATGGTGGTGGAGGGGAAAAGTCAGGAAACGCAAGGAAGAGCATATTCTCTTGGGGGAGACTCAAAACCCCAGGACAGAATAGGAGGAAACCATCTCTGTGGAGTGTACAGGTCCACCTCTGAAAGCTGAATTGAGAACATTGGGGAAGTCCCTCCGGAACCTGCTCCGGAAGCAGCTGGAAGGCTTGTGATGTGGGAACCCTGCCAAACTCGAGTGAACAGATGACTTTTCTGGCAAGCAGAGGGAAGTCAGTAAAAGTTCTCTCAGCTGAGAAACTTAATAACCAGTTAAAATTTGAAATGAGTAAACAACTCAAAAGGCCCACAGCAAGCTGAGAAAAAATATCTGTAACCTGGATACAAAGGGTTAATACCCTTAATGTACACAGAGTTATCAGAGATAAATAAGAAAAGATAAAATCTGAGGGAAAAAAGTTAGGAAACCCATGAACAGACAATTCAATTTAAAAAGAAAACAAAACACATTTAAATGGCTAATAAACTTTTTTTAATCCTCACCCAAGGATATTTTTCCATTGATTTTTAGATAGAGTGGAAGGGAGGGAGGGAGAGAGAGAGAAACATCGATGTGAGAGAGACACATAGATGTGAGAAAGACACATCGATTGGTTGCCTCCTGCATGACCCCCACTGGGGCCAGAGATCAAAACTGCAATCTAGGTACATGCCTTTAACTGGAAATCAAATCCATGACCCTTTAGTCCACAGGCCGACCCTCTAACTGCTGAGCCAAATTGGTCAGGGCCCAATAAACACATTTTTAGACTCATCTTAGTCATAAAAAAAATCAAAATTTAAAAAATGAAATGTGTGTGCCTATCAAATTGACTGTTTTCTTTTATGAAAATTTCTACTGTTTGGAAAGGATATGGAGAATATGCACAAATGCTGCTGCTGGGAATGTAAAAGGCACAGCCTTTCAGAAAAGGAGGTGGAGGTGACTTGGTTATGAAAGCCTTGAAATGGTCATATGACTCAGAAATTCCACTAGTAGACATTTATCTATGGGTAATGAAAACAGTTGCAGGAAGATTCAGCTCCAGAACATCCCTGGAGGAGGCAGTAGGCAGAGTGGCTGGACCTCAGTGCAGGAGCCTGGCTGCTTGGGGCAACTCTCTCTGAGCATCATCTGTAAAATGGAAAGTGTTACAACGATGCCAAAGAATTGGATACATAGAATGCATGGCACATAATAAATGCTCAGTAAATTGGATATTAGTAACAAAAATTTAATTTATAAGCACCTAGAACATAAGTGAGCCAAGGATAGAAACAGAGCTCCACAGAAGAGCTAAAAACAGTTCCTAAACACACAAAAAGATGCTTATTTTCATCTCCATGAAGATGTGCTCATTCAAATGAAGCCAAGACACAAATTTCCACCCAGAAGGTGTAAGAAAGTCTAAGTCAGTTGACAGCCTGTGCAGTCTGTGGGGAAATGGGCCACCTGCACACAGGTGAGGGGCAGCAACCAGGTGGGAGCTCTGGAGACCACTACTGGAATGACAAGCACACATGCTCTAAACCATGATATTTCACATTGGGGGATTCATCCACAAAGACCTGCACTTGCCTGAAAAGGACATATGAAGTCATCCCCTGTGGCATTAACTGTTAGAGGGAAAGACTAGAAGCAAAACCCATCATCACTTAGATTCTGATCAAAATTAAGGAACTCACCTATAATCTTTCATTGCCAATCACAAATCACAAAACATTCTGATACCCAGAAGTCTTTGTAAGACTATTTAATTTTTGTTTATCCCAGTGAGTGTGATGAACAAAGAAACTGATATTCATCAGTTTCTCTAAAGCAGCTGACTATGGGATGCTGCCCCAGATCCATATTATGCATAAAAAATGGCCCCCAAAATTAGAAGCTGAAAACAACATATGTCTATTATCTCAGAGTTTCTGTGGGTGAAGAATGTGGAATCAGTTTAGTTGGGTGTGTTCCCAAAACTCTCATAAGAATTGCTGAGCCACTATAAAATCCCCGCTCCCATCTTACAGAGCCCTTGCTCATGGTGAACCCAAGGCTCCCATCACCACAATCTCTCCTTTCAGTGTTGGGAACTAGGAGCTGCCGGAAGAGGCCCCAGTGAGTGTTGGCCAGATGAGATGGACACAAATTCATGTGCATGTCAGAGCCTGGGCTTAGAGGGTCCCTCTGTAGCTCCAACACACTCCATTTCTCCTCACGGCTCTTATTCACCATGAGCTTGGCCAGACCAGCCATATCAGGAGACAGGTGGCTACTGTTCCATCCAGGAACCTACATTTTGTTTCCTTTTTTTTTTTTATCCTCACCCAAGGACATTTTTCCACTTTTTGTTCAGATAGAGTGTGAGGGAGAGAGAGGAAGAGAGAGAGAGAGAGAGAGAGAGAGAGAGAGAGAGAGAGAGAGAGAGAGAGAGAGAGAGAGAGAAACATGGCCCGGGATAAATTGCAACCAAGGTACATGCCCTTAGTGGGAACCAAACCCAAGTCTCTCTGGGCCGCAGGTCGACACTCTAACCGCTGAGCCAAACCGGCCAGGGCTAGGAACCTACATTTTCAACCATCCCATATACCCTGTAAAGCTTCCCCCTACCCCCCAGCAATTCACTAGCATAGCCAAGAACCTGTGAGGCCCTTACCTGCTCCTGGCTGGTCCTATGGGGCCTCAGAGCAGCCATCCAAAGCACAGGACACATCATTGGCACCGAGGGCCTTTTTCAATTCTAAAACAACAGATAACCCTTGAACCTACCTGGAGAAGCCCAGGCATCAAAGGGTTTCCACACATTCTCCCTAAGAAGACACAAGAAGGCTAAGGATGGAGGAAAGGGCACAACCAGGAACCTTAAACAGATGACTTATTTGAGCCTCTCTCCATGCCTGTGCACCCGACAGACATGGTTAGCCAATCCCAACATCTTCACCGAGTCAGATGCTACCAGCTCCACCTCACAACACTGCCTTCCAAGCAGATGTCACAAATCCACTGAGTATCAAACTGCTAAGGACATGAAAAATCTCTGGAAATAAAGGTGTTCCCTGTTTTGGAATTTTTTTTTTCCAATCAGAGAATAGCCTTTTACCATTTAAAGTGTTCCCTACTCCAGAGAACTCGTTGTGTGTGTGTGTGTGTGTGTGTGTGTGTGTGTGTTGGCTACCCACAGATGGAGCCCACATCTTCACCCTCACTTCCTAGCTCTCAGAACTCTGCCATCACCGTTCAGGCTGCTCTGTCTGCATCTGTTCTTCCTCTTTGTGTCCTTCAAATACAGACTCTCGGGGGTGCCTCCCCTTTCTCTACTCTCCATCCCCAGGTTGTGGCCCCTCCTGTGTACTTGGTGACACCCAGGCCAGCAATTTGGCACCTCTGCTCCTGCCTCATCATCACTGGGTTCCATCCTCTTGGTGGCTGTCCCTGCTTGGACCCATCATTTTCCCCCAAAACCGTGCCCTCAGCCTCTCCCTTATTTTCAATCTGGCCATAGTCATCCTCTGCTCACACACCCTACATGACTCCCTATTCCCTGCCCAAAAAAGTATAAACTCCTCTGCCTATCATTCAAGCCCCTGCATGTCTGCCCGGCAGCCTCCAGCCTCCTCTTCTTCTGTTGTCTTTCCCTC